CACGTTCTCACCTCATTTGCAGCTTTTAATCCCAAATGGACATTGCTTTTGAAATATCCTCTTTCTTTCTTTTCTTTTCTTTTCTCTCTCTTTTTTTTTTTTTTTTTTTTTTCCCCCTGAGGCTGCCACTTGAAAGTTGAAATCTAGCAAGAATGTAATGGTAGGTGCCGGCTTTCTGAATTACAGGGTGACTGCCTGAGCTGTCCTAAAAAGCAAGTGTCTTTTTTATGCCGCATAAAAGACTGAAATGTTTACATATCAAAAGGCTATAGGCCAATTTCTGTCAAAATTACACATGAAGTTAAGCAGTACAAGCAATTTATTTAAACACTAGTCATTGTAGAAAAATTCAAAACCATATGCTCTTTTAGCAGTTTTTCACAAATGCATTTGACCCATGACTTGGCTAGACATACAAGCTTCATAATTTACTCTAAATTTCAAATCCCCTTGACGTTTAAATAAAAGATCTTCATTAATGAGGTTTACATGAATGAAAACTTTAGAAGCTGATATCGGTTAGCAAGGGGCTTCAGGACCGTCTGTGCCTTCGCTCTAATTTTCAAATGACTGACTTTGCTTAATCATTTCAAGAGAAAGTTCCTCTGAGAACAAATTATCATCATTTGCATTCTGCGATTTGCAAAAAGCAACGGTGCAGTCACTTTGAAACAAACTTTGAAAGTGGATTTCTGCAACCCAGGAAAACTGAAGCTATTTTTTTCCCCCTTGAGGCCTTGGGAACACGTCATTTTTCGACACCCTCTTCTCTCCCAGGGCTTCGTGCTTTCCCTAACACCTTGATGAGCTTGTTCTTAGGGTTTCGGGTGTTTTTCTTTAGAATGTTTCAAAACTTCTATCAAAAATCATCTGGTAAGTTCCCTATGTTTAGCTGAATGCAAGAGACCCAGCACAAATGCGTTGCTGGTTAGCTTTAGMGGGCAGAGACTGCAAGGGTGGAGACTGCGCGGGTAGGTCAGCACCACTGGGGACCAGCCTCCCTGGAATATGGCTAGAGCTATCAGAGGGGTCCTTCAGGGACCAGCAGAACCGTAGTGCTTGTTTGGCGCACCAATTTTGAAACATTAGATTTTTTTTTTTTTAAAGCCTAAACACCAACGAGAATACCAATTTGCACTGTGAAAACTACTGAGGTCTCCTTGCTGTGTGCTAGGGACCTACAGAGACATTAGAATTGTTCCTAATTCCTCTGACCTCCATGCAGCCTTGAGGGCTAGGTTATCTTTGAAAAGGACACACCAGCCTTTTGCACATGATAAGAAAAATCTTACTTACATGCATCGGATTATAAACTCTGCTCTGTGATCAGGCAAGAGAGTGAGCGAATTAAGAAACGAATCCTAAGAAGTTGGGGCCGGGTATGCATTTWAAAATACAGCTGTGAGGAGTGGGGTGTAAAGAGAAAGGGGACAGCTTTTTCCACGATGAAAATATCTCGGGGCGCRGAGATATGCCCAGACACACGCTCCAAACTTGAGTACTCTGTTTTAAATCAGAGAAGCAATTTAATCTACACTCTTTGAATCAATTTAGCGATGACCGCAGCGCAAGACGCCTTCCACAGAGGCCAAACAGCAAATATACCTTACGCATGTGGAATCCACTGATCTATTCTTTAATATTTTTAAAATGAGGGCTATTACCGGGGCGAATGACTCCTCAACAAACACATTTTCATAGACTTCTGCGTGGTGATTGCTTTGTGTGAAATCGTGTTTGGGTGATAATAGGGAAAATCAGCGGCGTGTTTACTGCCTTTCCCACCGAAGCGCTCCCGGCTGCCGCTGGACGCTCCGGGTCCTCCCATGCTGAGCCGAGCGTGTGGGGCCGACAAACAATCGCTTAGCAACACGAGGGGGACCATTTGCTTGCGTTGCATTTGTTATTCCAATTGCGCCAGGCAATGAGGGGCAAGATTGGTGCGTTGTGGACACTTGTGGGTTTTCGTCCTCAGAGGAGGTGCGGTACCGGGGCCAAGAAGACGCCTTTCTGGCGTCTGCCTCCCCGCGGACAAAGAGGAAGAGCCACAGATTGAGGGGCACCCAGGTGGGGGAGGTACGCCAGGCAGGGGTGAGCTGCTGTGAGAGGTGGCAGAGTGAGTAGTGTGTGGCTCTGGGTCCCTGTGACCCCTTCCCTGAAATTCTCCTCCATTAGAGGATAGAGCTTGCAAATTCGCTCTTAAGACTCAACTGATTCCGAGACCCTGCCCTAATGCTGGGGGCAGGGGTGGAGACAGCACACTCCTTTGTCCCCATGAAAAGAACAAGAAAATGTCCTTTAGTCCATCCCCAACCTCCTTGGGTCAGTTACCTTCGTAATATTAAGGTTGTAAGGGACTCAATGAATGTTGGATTAGGTTCGATCAATTAAAATCTCGAGGCCTCCAAAAGAGGGGCAATTTACAAAGTGTCTCCATTCATTCCAACTCTGATGTTCAGACTGGATACTCTTCCTTCCAGTGGTTGGGTAGTTAGCCAGAGGGCTTCAGGAAAGTGAAGCACAATCTAGGATTTTGTTCAACCTGATCATTAAGGACAAGAATCAAGAGGAAGGAGACAGGAGGGGTGGACTTGGCCAGCGAGTTGGTTCTACACTTTTAAATACTTGGAGGCCCGTTTGTAGGTCTGAGACTGAGGTTTTGTTGGGGGTCCTGATTTGAGCACTCTTCACGACAACTAATGGACTAGGAATCTGCCTGTAGAATCCTACTTTGCTTTGGCTTCCCCGTGATGAGGCAAAGATCTTAAAAGACGCATCCCCGCAAAGTTCGCCCGCCCAGCAACCAGCACAAATGCAGATAAATTCACTGCTGAAATTGCAGCCTCCAGTTTTCTTCCATCCATTGCCCTGTACAACGGAACCTGAGAAAGGCTGGCGGCAGTATGTGTGCTCTGGGACCTAGTGACCCATTCGCTGTCTCTYAGGATGGAAAAACTGCTTCCCTCCCTGGTTACTAGGAGAGCCAAGGCAGGTTTTCTTACCGTAGACCTGACCTCTGAAAGAGAGGGTCACTCTCCTTCCTGGGAGGTTATAATTATTATTTTTAAATCTATGGCTTCTCCCAAATTGAGAACCATTTCCATCCGGCTTTAATCTCTCCCAACAACCTCTAGTTTGCACAGCAAAGAACCAAGTCTCCCGACCACACGAGCCGGTGGGCGTTAGGATGTGGAGCTTCAACTCCGGGGAACTAGGAGGAGAAGCGCGCGCTAGCCCTCATTCCGCGGCCCCAGCGCATTGCCGAGTTCTGCGCCCCCGCACGACCGAAGCTCCGCTCAACGGCTCTTTGATTTGGRAAAGGAATTGACAAGTGGCCTTTCYCGGGTGCTTGGGAAGAGGCAGCGTAGCYGACTTAGTCTTACTGAGGTGATTTTAGACAACTTTTCGGGAACCCCTGGCTAATCAGTTCCAGAAAAATCGGGTAGGAGTTAAAGGCGAAAAAATGGGTAGGAGTTAAAGGCGGCCTTCCTTCGGGACTCTGGCGGGGTCTGCCCTCCCCGCCCAGGGCGGTCTCCCGTCTCAGTCGGTGCTGGCCCTTCCCGGTGGAATGGCTGGCGTTGCTGGCGCAAAGGCCCGAAGAAAGACGGCTTTGGAGTCCAGGGGCTTGCGCCCAGGCCGCAGGACCTCAGGGGCTGCTTTCGTTCCGCGCACACTGTCGCCTACCTTCTCGGAGAGCGCGCTCAACAGCCTGCGCGCAGAGTGGACTGGCTGCGCCTCCCGAGGCTCCAGCGGGCGGCCGTGCTGTGCGGAGAAACCCGCAAGTCACTGCGGCCGCCTTTGGCAAGCAGGGAGGGCCTTGGTACAGGCCCCCGGGACTCGGGGAACCCAGCCTGGGCCTGCCAGGCTGAAGTTAAGGGGCCTGTCATTTCGGGAGTGAGCAGGTCCAAGGGGAAAATGCGACTCAATTGTTCCAGAGGAAGACTGAGAAGCCCCAAAGGCTCCAATCTGGATTGAAAACCCAAAACAGGGGAAGAGGACACCCCACTTCTAAAAATAAGAATCAACAAGGAAAAGCACAAAACCTACCGACACCCACGCAGGGGGCAGCTGGAAGCATCGCTTCTGAGTGCTACGCTTGAACTTTAAATAGTGGCTGAACTCGGTCTTCGTTGTGTAAGGACCTAGGGACTGTCATGGTAGTTTTCTGACCCAAAGCGTGAGAGAGAGAGAGAGAGAGAGAGAGAGAGAGAGAGAGAGAGAGAGAGAGAGAGAGAGAAATATTTTAGAAAATACAGTGCACCTTTTCTTTCATCGTTTTTGCTTTACAAATTTTGACTTTTGCAAAAACAAAAGGCCGGGGTGGGGGGTGGGAATTAACCAGCTGATTGGGAAGAGAACTTTAAAGATTAAAAAAGAGAGAAGGAGTTGAAATTAGGCCCAAGGAGGAGCGGAATTTTCGATCCTAGTCGAGGAAGGACACACTCACTCACATTTTCTAAAACAAAACAAATTCCGAAAGAAGTAGCCCCAAAGTAAAACCGGCCACAATGAATTTGAGCTAAAGGCAGAGGAAATCGCACCCAATAATAGGACCCAATCTGAGAAAAAAAGGTGGGGGCGGAGAGGTCGGGCGGCGGGAGTTGTTAACTGCGGCAGTACAATGGAATTAATGAGATTAACCAGGGCAATTAGGCCGCCCGCCCAGCTCGACCGGCCCGCGGCGGGGCTGCCGAATGGAAAAGATTAGGTTAATTTCATTAATTCTCAATCCACAATCTCTTCTCAGGCTCTGTCACCCCCTCCCCTTGGCACCTCTCCCCCTCCCCTGGAAAACCTCCCCCCACCCAAAGGAGAAGAAAAGGCCAAATCTGGTTCTGTTTGTCATCTGCATATTACCAGGAACTAAATCCAGGATGACGTCGACTCGGTATAAAACCAACAAGAGGTTCAGCTGGTCCGAGCTCGTCCTACCCGCGGGTTGAGTTCAGCGAGCGCTGCAGCGAGGGGCGGGCGGGAGGAGGGCGAGCGGACGCAGGGGGCGGGGAGGGGCGCGGGGCTGCACGCTCGCCGGCGCTCTCTTTCGGTTTGGTCGGTCGTAGGAAGAGAGTGGACACCCCACTTTGAGGCATTTTCCTCTGCGTGTCCCCGCTGCCCTCTGGTCCCGGCGCGGGTCTCGGGGATGCCCGCCAGCATGTTCAGCATCGACAACATCCTGGCCGCCCGGCCGCGCTGCAAGGACTCGGTGCTGCCGGTGGCGCCCAGCGCCGCGGCTCCGGTCGTCTTCCCGGCCCTGCACGGGGACTCTCTCTACGGCGCCAGCGGAGGCACCTCCTCGGACTACGGCGCCTTCTACCAGCGCCCGGTGGCCCCCGGCGGCGCGGGCCTCCCGGCCGCGGTCGGCGGCTCCCGCCTAGGCTACAACAACTACTTCTACGGGCAGCTGCACGTGCAGGCGGCGCCCGTGGGCCCGGCCTGCTGCGGGGCCGTGCAGCCGCTGGGCGCCCAGCAGTGCTCCTGCGTCCCGACGCCTTCAGGTATGGTCGCGCTCGTTCGGGCCTTGGCAACCTAGCGCTGTCGTTAGTCCCTGGGATGGTGGCGCTTGCTTTGGTCACCTGGCACAAACTTTTCCTCTTGCAAACCCTCTTTTGGCGGAGTTTGCACACGCCTTACTGCAAACTTTTCGCGAGTTAGCGAAAGTAACTCGCGTAGTGTCCGGGTTAGGATTCCACGCCCAGGCCATAATTTAGTGCCTGCCGTGGGGAAAGTTTGTTTTTTTAAATTCCCCGACTGGCTCTGGGGCTTGAGGGGGGATGATCCCTCCCATTTTCCGGCACCTCGACCCCTTTGTAGCTGTTTTTTAAGTGGCAGAGGATTGCGGGCTGGCCGGCGGGCGTGCGCGCGGTGACGAGGGAGGCGGCTGACTGTGCGCCCCGCTTGCCGCAGGCTACGAGGGCCCAGGYTCGGTGTTGGTGTCGCCGGTGCCGCACCAGATGCTGCCCTACATGAACGTGGGCACGCTGTCGCGCACCGAGCTGCAGCTCCTCAACCAACTGCACTGCCGGAGGAAGCGGCGGCACCGCACCATCTTCACCGACGAACAGCTCGAAGCGCTGGAGAACCTCTTCCAGGAGACCAAGTACCCGGACGTGGGCACGCGCGAGCAGCTGGCCCGGAAGGTGCATCTCCGAGAGGAGAAAGTGGAGGTAGGCGCCCAGCCCGTCGGCGGTGTCTAGTGGTCCTTCGCAGGGAGCAGGGCCCCGGGCGGGTTGGCCCCAGGCGGGTTGGCCCAGCCCTCCTCCAAGCTCCCTAAACTTTAAAAACTTCCCGGTGGCCTCCTGGAGGCTGGAGGGCGCTTTAGGCCCAGGAAGTCGGGAGAAAACGCGGAAGCCCGAGCTAGTGGCTCCGCTCCTTTTGTTGGTGTGCGCKCGGTGTCCTGCTCGCGATTCCACGCCCGATCATCCCGCGGCCACACGGAGCCCCCGGGTGTGCTGGCGGTTGGGCAAGCGCCCCTTAACTGTTGTTCTGTGCTCACTTGCGCAACAGGTCTGGTTTAAGAATCGCCGCGCCAAATGGAGGCGGCAGAAGCGGTCCTCATCCGAAGAGTCGGAAAACGCTGAGAAGTGGAACAAGACGTCGTCGAAGGCGTCGCCGGAGAAGAGGGAAGAGGAAGGTAAAAGCGATTTGGACTCGGACAGCTGACGGCCGCGGGATGGCCGTGGCGCTTGCCTGACTCAAGGACTTGCACAGTCAGACGATGCTACTTCTTGCACACGCGCTGCCTTGCGGGAGGGGGTCGAGAAAGAGGAACGAGGAGCTGTAAATAGTGTACAGAGCCGAGAGGGTCGGCGCCTGGGGACTGGCGGGGCGCGCGGGTTCTCGCAGCCCCGCGCGGTCAGAGGCCGCCTGCATCTTGCTCCCCACTGTAGTATTTATAGTTAAGTTAACGGTGACAATACAATAAAGTGACGGTGATGTAGATGGGCCAGTCTGTATTTCGTACCACCACCACCACCACCATCAGTCCGAGGCCGAGACACCCATTTAGTTTGTAGCGTCTACAGAAGAAAATTGAGCAGCTTTGACCTGTCAAAAGGAAGGAACAAGAAAAACTCGGGGTGGGGGGGACTCACGGAGGGATGGATTGGCCTGGGCTGGGTGTCCTGGTTTAACAGGAAGCCCGGCCCTAGTTCTCCAGGAAGGGGTGATGTGAGGGTCTGCCGGGGTTCTTGCTCCTTGCTCCCGCCTCCCGCTGGGAGAAGGCGCACACCTTCCTTCTCTGTAGAAGCCAGGGCCTCAGAACCCAAGCTTCTCCAGAGCCCTAGTCCTATTTCTGTGACACCTCAGACCAAAGAAGGCCAGTCCACCCGCTGAGTTAGGCAGCGGACATGCCTGTTCCCCCGGGTGCTTTCCTCGATCTTCCACRACTATACCGGCTGTCCCTCCACCCCAAATGCCCCTCTGACCAGGGAAGGAGTTTCCTCCCCGCAGTCCTAGTTGGCACTGTAGCCCCACGGCAGCCAGGAGAACCTCTTCCAGGAGGCCAAGTACCCGGTGGTGGGCACTCTTTTCCTTGGGCGGCTGAGTGGCCAGGGCTGAGGGATGAGCTCTCAGTCAGTCTAGGAGGGCACCCGGGAGAGGGTTGCTTTGAAGTGGCAGTACYGGGGTCCCCACCCCCATGCCGCTCTTTTCTTCTGGAACTATCTACCTTCCACCCACCCGGGGCTGGAATAAGGAACTCCAGCCAGTTGCGGGCTGGCTACACCCGGTCGGTCACAGTTAACCAAAGACTGGAGAGGTCTCCTGGAGCCCCTGAGCTAGGCATAAAGAGTAGATCACTCCGCAGGCCATTCAGGGCATGAAGTGAAGGCCAAGGCCAGAAAGGATAGCTTTTAATATGTTGAATTTTATTCTGCTCACTTATCCAAGAGGAAACCTGGGCCTAGAGCCCTCTTGGGCTCCTCAACCCGCCTATGCCCGCTGGGAGCAGAGAGCTTGTTCTTGCTGAGCCTCCTCCCATGTTCAGATCAAGGTCCCTACAACGGAAGGGGCAAGGCCTGCATGCTGGCTAATTGAACAGCTACCAAAAGGAACTTTGTTTACAAACAGCACTTTTTTTTTTCACATCTTGTGGGTTTGCAAATGTGACCCCTGGAGCATATGAACTAGCCCCTTGGAAAGCTTGGAGTGCTCGCTCTCCAATACTGCCCTTTCCACAAGCAGTATCCCTAGGCAGTGGAAAGGGCCAAGACTGCATCAATTTGTGACTTTGGGCACGCTACTTAACCTCTCTGACCCCCATGTTCCATAACTGTAAAATGGGCATAGTAATAGAACCTGCTTCCCAGGGTCCTTGTGGACACTACTTAAGAGCATAAGGGACTCTTTTCAACCTGACTACTTAATTTAGAAAATGTGAGCATGCTTTATCTAATTCAGCTCCAATACTTGCAGATGTATGTACATTATCTGATTTTTATCTTCAAGAACTCTAAGATGGGTAATGTCACCATTTTACAGGTGAACATGTTAAGGGTTTGAAAAGTTAAGGACATTAACAACGAGCAGCTCATAAGAAATAAGGTGGGAACATGGCCTTTGCCTCAGGGAGTCTTATACCTTAATTGGAAATGTTTCCACTAAGAACAGTTCTTGTGAGAAATATTCAAAGAAACTGTCCTATTTGGTTTCAAATGCATCTTGAAATGGCTGTTGGTATACCTCCTTAGACAGCAGACTTCAGGGTGAGACAGCAGTGCCTGCCATTGCTCCCAGTCATTGGTAGCTGATGTTCCTGGAGGGTGTTCTCTCCACCTGAAGAGGGATCAGCCTGCAGGAATATCTGGAACATTTTAAGGCAGGAGAGAAGTGAGCAGTGTCATTTCACCCTGAGAGAGTTGCCTTCTGTAGAACTCTAAACTCCTGTGTGGCTTTTCCCTATAAAAGGGAATTTTTCATTTTAAAGAAAATGTGCATGTATTCTGGAAAGAGGTCTAAGGCAAATGGTCAGGGGAGATAAGGGAGGGGTTGAACACCTGGTGAAAAGCCATGAGTGGAATAGAGGGGGACCAAGCTCCCAGCTTGTCCCCGCGCAGGCCCAAGGTGACGAGAGAACTCTCCCTCACTGTCCACGTCTCCATGCCTGGAGTGCCCTGCAGAGGCTTCAGGATTGGCCCAGCTCACAGGAAATAAACATAATAAACGTCTGGAGTGAAGAGGGAAATGTCAGCATGATCTAATTATAGTCCACCCACCTACCCTGTGCATGCCCCAGGCAGCTGTGGGTTCAAATCTCCATCTTAGACTGGCCCTTGGTGGCAGGAGGGCCAGCTGGGGTCATGGAGCAGAAGGCACTCGGGCATCGTGATTTTCTTCAGTGGGAATTCGGGTCACACTGTTGGAAAGTGGTATGTGTCCTCGGGCAGGGTGTAGGCCAGTCAGCCTGGCTTAAGAGGTTTCAGATTCACGTGACCTCTCATCCTGTCCACTGAGGGTGTTCTGCCCATTCCATAGTTGAGCAAACTGAGGCACAAGACTAACGCCAAGGAGCAAAATGAGAATTGTGACCTGCAAGGCTCCTGGACCTTGTGATTTGCAAGGGGATATGGGTGGGGCCCTCAGCCAGTTAGAATGTTCACCAACAGCAAATGACTACAAGAGTGAGTGTAACTGCCCCGCCTCACAGACTCTAGTGAAGAGCAGTAGTGAGGATTGTGACCCCTCACACTCGTCTAGCACTTTACACGCCACACTTCCACTCTCAGGCTCTCAGGAGGGGGGAGCTGCAGCCCATTTTCCAGGTGGGAATTCGAGGCTCAGTAAKAATAAATAGTAAGTGGCAGAGCAGGCCGCGGACCCCCAGGGCCCAGCAGACTTCCCACATACTTCTTGCAGTGATGTGAGGTCTAGAGTAATGGCTTCCAGGTGTCCCTGGCCACCTGAGCCAAGTGGGCCCTGCTTGGAAGGAGCTGGGAGTCTTTGGATTCCTACCATCTCCCTCCATATCTCTTGGTTCTTGGCAGTAGCAGGGCACAAGCTGGGGGACAGGACCCGAAAACAACTGCATAAACAGTGGCCACAGAGAGCTGATTTCAGTTTCAGTCCTTTGATCAGATTGTGATTTATTGATATTTGAATTTTTCTTTTCAGTATGAGAGATTGAACCCAGGGCCTCACACGTCCTAGGCAAGTGCTCTAYCACTGAGCTTCMTCCCCAGCCCTTRTTTTATTTTGAGTYRGGGTCTCCCTAACTTGCCTAGGCTGGTYTTGAACCTGTGATCCTCCTTCCTCAGCCTCCTGGGATGGAGGTGGGGACACCACACCTTGAGTAAACTTTGAACCAAGAGTTCTAACAGTCACTTGAAGGATATCCTCTTCAGGGGCATGAATGGGGTGGAATCAAGCAGATTCTCTTGTTTTCATTGCTCTGGGGCAACATTTGGTGGCCAGGAGCTAGGGGTGACCGGGAGCTCTTTTTCCTAAGTGTGTGAAGTTTCCAGTGACTCAAGTAAAATGGCTCTGGCATCAAGACTGCCATCCAAAGAGCCAGAGCCCTTCCTAGGCTGGCCTTCTGTAACCTTGAGCTTCTGCCTAAGTGAAATTAAGGGCACGTAAAACACAAAGCCTCACCCTTATGAGGTGAACTTGGCGGCCAAGGAGAGAGAACAGGGCACCTTAAGGCCAGTAAAGCTGGGTGGCTGGACTTTAAAGCCACAAGTCTACAAGCTTTACAGATGGGGTCACATCCTGGCCCAGTCACCTGCAACAGGTTAAGCTCTGTGTTTCTGTCAGTCTCCTTCCTCACCTGCAAAATAGGCGGGGGTCCAGCGTTAGAGATTAAGAGGGAACCCAGCCGAGTGTCTGACACATCCATTATCTCCCAGCAGCTGGATAATGACCTGCATAAGTAGGTTGGAATTAGGAATTAAGGAATGTCCCTTGTTTTTAATTGTTGTTGGCTCAGGAGCTTATGCCTGACCACAGAGCAGAGTCTAATGCAATTACCTGCCGTGGCTGGCGTGGATGGAGACAGAATACCCTGCATTCTGCCCCAGAGCTTGAGGACAACAGGATTTAGAGGGAACAAGGAGAATAGTTGGAGCAGGTTTGGATTTGATTTCCAAGTTTTGTGAAATGACCTTGAAGTTTTTCAAAAGTAAAGCCAAAACAAATCCCAGCAACCCATGCAGAGCCCCTTGAAAGTACTGGAAGAGATGGATCTGGCTGCATCTGTCAGCTATTGGGACYTCTCATTTGTTGAAGGGATGAAGGGCATCTCCAAGGACTGTCCCTAGAGCCCTGTGACAACACAAAAGGTCTCTGCTGATCATAATGRCTTGGTTTTAAATCTGGGAAAAAATAGAAAGCTATTGTCTCTGCTGTCCAAATGGCCCACAGGACAAGCAGGGGAACTGCAGCGGGTTGAGGTGTTTAAAAGTGGGTCTATAATTTTTGGATTCCAGCAGCCTTCATCTGTTCCCAGGTGTCCAGCCCTGGGAAGCGTCAGTGAGAGAGGATCTTAAAAGTCCCTCTACCAGCCCTCCGTTCTCCCCAGGGGTTCCTCCCACTTAGACCTTCTGTTTTCCTAATTTTGAGGTCCTCGGAGTCAAGCGCCGAGTTTAATTGAGTGGATTGCATTTTGCCAAGTGCCCGTGCCCCCCTCCTTAACCGAAACTGATTTATAGAAGCTGTAATCAGTGAGATAATTTTAGCTATGATGCACAGAGTTTAAAAGTGTCCATGTCACTTCCTGGCTGATTTACCAGACCTATAACGCTGGGCCTAGGAGGTGCTTCCGCCCTATGGTGGGATCCGCCAGGACGACCCCAGAARAAGCCTCCTGCGGCAGGAGACAGATTTTCCCTGCTGAAGCCAGGCCGGCCTSGCTCCTTCTTTCCCCAGAGCCATTTCCTTCTTCCCGACTCTCTCAACTAGGATGGGGTAACTTGTTTAATTTTTTTTTCTTTTTTTGGGGAAGGG